ATGTTCAGTGTACCTTGTGCAGATGTGGAGGAGCGCCTCGGCGGGCTTTCTTGAGTGGAAGCGACTTGTGGGTCTACTGGACGATAAGCTCGGGGACGTGTGCAGTGGACTTTGGAGTGTCCAAATGTTTGGCAGTTGTGGCAGAACGGCGGCACAATGGTGAGTCATCTGTTGTCACGTTGATCTTGTTTGCCGCGTCGGTTGTAGTTGTTGTCGTTCCTTCGTTGAGTGTAGAAGACTAATGGTTGCTGTTTCCTTGGTTGCCTTTCTTCAAACAGGTCCATCTCCTGTTGTTCAGCATGGAGCTCGGCGCAGAGGTGCATCTCCGAGACTCGTCCGTGGGCGCGAAGGAGCGAGCGGGTGGTTCTCCATTCTGGCCCGAGCCCGGCGAGGACAAGCGTCACGAAGCTTTCTTCAGTGATTGTTCCTCCGCACCGAAGCAGGAGGTCGCGGAGTGTCTGGCATCGGCTCATATACTGCATCGCCTTTTCCCCGGTCTTCATCTGTATTGTTGTCAGCTGCTGCATGAGTCTGCTCTGTGTCACGCTGTCGTTTGCTTGATAGAGACACTTGAGGTGATGCCATGCGAGTTCCGCGGAGTTTCCATAGCTCCGATATGTTCTGATGCTTTGCTGTTCTTGTGGTGACAGGTTCCGCAGGAGAACTGTGTACGCCAGCAGCGATTGATACATAAAAATTTCTTGCTCTTTTGCAGTGCCGTTGCTTGGGAATGGCAGGGACCCGTTGAAGTATCCCAAGAGATGCGCAGCCTCCATCAGCAGCTCGAACTCAAAGCTCCAGGTAAAAAAGTCGTGTCCGTTAAACGGTGAGGATGTCTGCAGTTTGATCACGTGTGAGAACTGCGCCTGGAGACTTAAAATCTCGTTTGGTGTCTGTTGTGATGCAGCTGCTGTTGGTTGGGCACGGGGAGGCATGAACTCGAACGTCCCCGGTGAAGAGTGATAAGGCGCAAAGGTAGGCGCTTGATTGTGTCGCCCGAACGATGAGTTGTCGAGGCTCATCGGCGCTAATCCCATGTTTCCTCCGTTGCTCTGTATTGAATGCGCAGGTGTCCTTGTCTGCTGCTGCTGGTCGAAGTGCGACATGAAGCTGAAGAACCTTTCCATAAGGTTCGGGTCCACGCTTGAAGAGGGTGATGGGGTCACCATTTCCGGTGCTCTTCCTGTTGTTTCTTGAGCAGCGCCGGTCTCGGTTTGCAGTCCTGAAGTGTGCAATCCAGAGTTGCCGGGTTGAGTGTCTTGGGCGCTGGGTGAGCCTGTAGAGGTTTTCTTGCCCTTGCTGTCCATGACTTATAATCAATGAAGTCGTTGATGTGCTGATTGCAGATAGAACGTAGTTGCTGGGAGTTTGGTCTCTGACCAGCTCTCATACCATGTTGGGCTGAGAAAAGCCCTTAGGATCTTTCCAGAGACTAAGTCCCAGTTGCAAAGGAGACTTTGAGTAGTGCAGCGGAAGTTGAGAAGTTGAACCCTTGTACTAGTATGTGAGAACAAGTGATTGATTAAAAGAACAAGAATACAGCAATATATAGAAAGTAGAAAGCAAGCAGTTGTAGAATACAGTTGAAGGGCGGTTTATCGAGTCGCACAGCGACTCGATTGTCGCTTCGGTTACCATTCTTGCAGTTGTAACGGTCAGTCGCAACCTCCGATTGCAACCCTTCGTGTTCTTTGTCCATCCCCTCGTGTAACCTCCGTTGACTCGCGTACCCGTTACGATCTTCCTCGAGTGTGGTGTTACACTTCAGAAACGCTTAAGTCTTTGAGGTATTTCCCACATATTCCCTACTCATAACTAGGGACGAGCATCTTAGGAACACAGAAATACACTCTGCAGCTTAAGCACTGCTATAATAAGCAACTCCCTAACACTGTCATGAAGACTAATCAGGAGACCCCTTCATCTGCCATTGCACTGGAGTCAGTGCTCTCCGGATGGCTCGGGACCCTAGCTATAACTGTGCCCGTGTCAGCGAACTGCTCTGCCACCAATGCAAGATCCTCCTCCATACTTCTCCTAGACTCCTGGCTCACCAACATCGCATCAATCCTTGCCGACACTCTCGCCCTCGCATCCCCGCCTCCCACTTCCTCCCTCAAAGCCTCCAAGTCTTGGACCACTCGAAGCATGGAGGGGCGGGAGGCAGTGGGCATAGCAGTGCAGCTCACAGCCAGCTGGGTAATGCGCTTGATGATGTCATCAGGTGCTGCCAAGCTGGGGTCCCCAAGAAGTGATGTCATTTCATTAGCCATGAGATGAGTTGCCTGTTGGGTGGGGGCAGAAAACACACACGATGGGCACACCCGAATATAAAAGCATTGACGAGTGCAAACGCAAACAACTGCAGGTAGAGCCATAAAAAACTCATGCTATAGATACAACCAAGCAAGTGTGAAAGCAAGCAACCTACCCATTTGGAAATGGAAATTGGTGATCGGTCGCCAGGGTTGTCTGATTCATTGCGCGGGTTGATTTCATTGATTGTGGCTCCTCTGCCTGACAGCATCACCAGCATTAGAATGCCAAAGCTGACGGGAAACACGGGAGAAACAATAATATTTGGAAAGCGAGGAAGTAGCATAGCCAAGGAGCCAGTTTTCCTAGAGCTAGAAAGATGAAAAGTGATCATGAGAGCAATCAAGACTGCACGATCAACACGAACAAGAAAGAATTCACCACCTAGATGGTTGGTTTGGTTTTGTTTGGTTGGGAATCCAAACAGCTAGGTTGGTGTGGTTTGGCAACGAACCAACTTGGGATAGTAGGCCGCCAACTTAAGTGAGTTTGTCCAACAGTGTTGTTCCAAGGTATGTTCCAAGATGACAGCATTATTTTGGAAAGTCAACAACAAAAACAAAAGGAGAATGTTCCAAGACTTGGAAAGCCAGTGGAAGAAGAAAACCCAGATTTCATCCACCGGTAGCATGTGAGCAAAAGACGGAAAGTACAGAGGGTAGCAGGGAATTGAATTCTAGTATACGTGTTTGCTTTGAAAAGGCAGGCTCAATACCGCAGCTGTAAACATCAGCACAGCTAGTCACCTGTAAACATCAGCCGCGGTGGTGGCGTTGTGTGTTCTGGAGTAAGCGGGGTCCACATAGCCTGCTGTTCCAAGCACTCGCGTGTAGCCCATTGTAGTGCCCTCTCCCACACGCACCAGTCCAAAGTCTGCCACCTTAGCCTGGGAAAGAGGGCACAGCAGACAAGACAAGAGGCAGTAGCCATCAAGGGAGAGCATCGCTGCACCATGTGCTTTGGAAGGGCAAGGATTAGCCACTCCAATGTGCTGATGATGACAGTTGCAGAAGATTTAGCATCATGGGTTCAGAATCACTTATCTCCAGATGGCTGGAGCGCCTCATCATCCCACATTCCTATGGACTTAAACGAAACAGACCCCACCTGCACGCAGGTTTCATTCATTCCATCACCAACCTCACCTGCATGTCGGCATCGATGAGGATGTTGGCTGGCTTGATGTCGCGATGCACAATGCCAAAGCTGTGGAGATACTCCAAGCCACGTGCAGCCCCTATGAGAATGTCTACCCGCTGCTGCAGAGTCAGATTCGTGGGGGCATCTGGGAATGAATAGAACATGCACTTTTATTGGCTGTGCCTTGCACCCTGAGTCCACAAATGAGTATAATTTCAAGCTTCCATTGGGTACTGGCATCCAAACTTCATGCGACACATTTGATGTTCAGAACTGTACCTTGGCCGATCCACCTCTGCAGGTCGCCATTGGGAATGAACTCGTAGATGAGAACATTCTCCACCCGCGTGTTCACATCCCCACCCACTGCAAAACCCAGCAGCCGCACCAAATTAGGATGGTGCTTCGTGGCCATCTGAGCCACCTGGGGAGAGCAAGGAGAGCATGGAGGCGGAAAAGATTGGGATTACTTTTCAGACTCGACTCGAGTATTCGAAAGCGCGGCTAAATGGGCAGGCAACACCAAATTCCGTCAACCGGAGGCACGGCCCATCTGTAAGCAAACCCTAGATTTGAGCTTATAGAGCTGCAAGGAGCGTAGTAACCTTGAATTGAAAAAAGTTGTTGGAAACGGGGGAGTTCTATGCGTAACATGAGCAGAATGCCAAAATTCAGGCACAAATGTATGTAATTGGGAGTTGTTTCGGGTGGGGTAGCTTAGACGCTAAGGGCGCAATGCATTTCAGAGCTGCTTTGCTGCAAGGTGCAAAAAAACGGCGTTTTTAACCTTTTTTGCTGTTAAAATGGGATCGTATAAAACGGTCGTATAATACGATTAATACGGCCGAGACTCGGAAGTTGCATTTTGCGTTTGGTGCAAAAAAACTGCCATTTTATGCGATCGTTTTTTCGTACCACCGTATAATACGGTGTACATCGTTTTTGGCTGAGCTAATAACGCATATCCGTGTTCAATATTTGTCAGTCGCGCAGTCGTTCAACTGTTAGCCGAGCCGCGACCTGACAAATTATCGAAGCGCATGCATCCAAAATTTCTGGAGCCCAGAACAGAGCGCGCGTCCATTGTGCAAATTTCGACAGTCCTTTTTCGCGCCATGCCGCCCCTCTGGTCCGAGCATCGCGCGGTCGGGCGAACATTTGAGAACATGTGATTCGGGATTTGCGATTTCGCGCAACCAATCACGTCATCTCGGGGTCCATCCCTCTCAACGAAATGGGATGTGATCCCTTTCAAAGCTCAGGTACAAACATCGAGCAGCTCCACAGCAGTGAGCATTACTACTCAACCTCCTCAACTCTGTACTTAGACCCGCTAGTTACTGCACACAGATTGTACTCTCGCGTTCAGCAGTCCGTGGTTGGTCATGCCTAGACCGACGTCCGGGCTCTGGGAGCACGTCAAGAAAGACACGGGCCCCAGCAGCATTGTTCGCAGCTGCGTGGGTATTCACTGCGATGCATCCGTCACTCCTAATGCTACTAGGATAGGCCATCACATCTACGGCCCGCCTAGCGACAAGCTGAAGAGCGTCGCACCATGTCAGTCGGAGTAAGCGAAACAACTGCACGCGTCTGGCGGAGAGGGACGCTCCTCCTCTGCCGAGCTCTCTCTTCGTGTTTCGACGTCGACGGTGGAGGTGCAGCAAAAGGGGGCGCACGCGGCAGCGCGATATCCGCGAAATGACGGACGTGGCGGGCCGTAACCGCCTCGACTATTTGTGGGCGATGGCCGTAGTAGAGAATGACTGGGCGTTTCGAGCGTCCCAGTCGAAGACGGTTCAGGACTTTGTCAACGCGGCGGTCAGCTTCGTGAAGCCCTATACACTGCCCTTGCTCGACAAACTGAAGACGGAATGTGAGACACTCCTACAACCTTTGAAGGACACGTGGCGCACCACCGGCTGCTCGTTAAGCATCGATGGACGGTCATGCCTCAAAAGCCGTGGCATGGTGTGCGTCATTGCCCAAAACGACACTGTTCATGTTGTCGTTGACATTGTGGAATCTAAGACTGCAAAGAAGACCGGACCGTACCTTACTGAGCTGATTCGGCGCGCTATCTGCAATGTGAGCGATCGCCTTTGTCGTCCAATTATGCATGGACAACGCTTCTAACAACAAGCAGGCGGCCAGCATTTTGAAAGACGGCTTCCCGCAAGTCTTCTTCACAAACTGCGCGGCTCACGTCCTTGACCTTACGCTGGAGGATCTTGGGGCGATTGGGGTCGTGAGGCAGTTCCTAACCCAGGTGCATCGGGTTGTGACGATGGAGAAGCGCATCCGCCGTCACGCTGTTCCGTGAGGTCTTCAGCCAGTTGGAGCTCGTCCGCCCCGGCTCTACACCATTTGGGACTCAGGTGTTGATGATCGGGCGGTTCCTCGAGGTCAAGAGGCAGCTGCGGGAAACGGTCATTAGCGAGCAGTGGGAGGAGGTGCCGCTGGCGCGGTCTGAGGAAGGAAAGGCCGTCCGCGACCTCCTCTTGGCGGACTCATTCTGGGAGTCCGTTGGCGTGGTGCTCCGTCTCATGAATCCCATCCACACAGTCCATCTACAAGCGGTCGCTCGTCATGGGCCGCATCTATGGCCTCATGTTAGAGGCCACCATCAAAATGAACGAGGCAGCAGAGGTGGCAGCCACGTTCTTCGTCCGCCGAACGCCTTTGCTTGCGGCAAAGGACAAGCCCGCCTTCTTGGCGGACGTGAAGAAGGTGATCGCCAAGTGCTGGGATGGGCAGCTCCACAACCCGCTGCAAGCTTTCGGTTGGCTCCTCAGCCCGCGGAACCAGTAGGTGGGTGAGGTGCGGCGGACGCGGAGATCAGGAACGGAGCGGACGAGGTGATCCGGGCGAGGGGGGGCGACTTGCAGCGGCAGTGTATGATCACCGCCCAGCTCGCCACTTTCCACAAGGGCGAGGGACGCCTTGGATCCATGGAAGCCCGATGGGCAGCGCCAGTCCTCGTGGAAAGCGGGCGGCTGAAGGATGCAGAATGGTGGTGGATGTACGGAGGGGAGGTGGCGGCCCTGCAGGAGCTGGCTGTGACGATTCCATCACAGTCAGTGACCTCATCCGAGGTTGAACGTTACTGGTCTGCCTTGGCCTGCGTCCAGCGTCGCGACTGGAACCGGCTGAACGTGACGACAATGACCGACGTCACCTTCATAGCGTTAGCCGGCGGGCGAGAGCGGCGTTCGACCAGAAAGTGGCGGTGCGCGCGAAGCTGTACTCCGACCTGAGCGATGGCAGCCTGAAGGAGGGCGCCACCATCCCCCTGCCACCTGCTGAGGAACCCGAGGCTGAGGACCCCGAAGGGGAAGAGGGCGGGAGGCGTGTACCGTCGATTGGGACACGTTCGCTCACATCGGGATTCGGGGGGAAGGAGAAGAAGAGTGGCACCAAGGCCCGAGGTAAGAAGAGGCCAAAGGAGGGCAACACTTCCCGAAAGGGGAAGGAGAAGGTGGTCGATGAGGAGGAGGAGGAGGAGGAGGAGGAGGAGGAGGAGGAGGAGGAGGAGGAGGAGGAGGAGGAGGAGGAGGAGGAGGAGGAGGAGGAGGAGGAGGAGGAGGAGGAGGAGGAGGAGGAGGAGGAGGAGGAGGAGGAGGAGGAGGAGGAGGAGGAGGGGGAGGCAGCAGAGGGCGATGGCGGTAGCAGTGGACCCAACGAGCCTGTCAAGAGGGCCAAGGAGGGATCCCCATGGGACTGCAGTGACGGCGAGAGTGGGAGGAGGACGAGGAGGGGAGGAGCAGGGCTAGGCGGAGAGGGACTAGGAGGATGAGGCTGAGCAGCAGGAGGACAGGGAGGAGGAGAGGAGGAGTAGGACGAGGACGAGGCATGGACGGGGGAGGACTAGGTGGGGGAGGACTAGGGGGGGGAGGACTAGGCGGGGGAGGACTAGGGGGGGGAGGACTAGGGGGGGGAGGACTAGGGGGATGACGCTTAGGAGGAGGACGGGGGGGATGGTGGAGTAGGAGCAGAATGAGGCCTAGAAGGCGACGGACTAGGGGCGCATGGACATCACATACCTGTTTCAAAGCCGTTAATTACCTCGTTGAACGATGCAGGCCGCCTTAGTGATCAGGCCACTTGTTTACGCGTGCTTCATGGAAAAAGGTCTAACAAAAAAACGTCATTTATAACCAAAACCCACCGGAAAAAACGGCTGTTTAAAATGGACCGTTTAATTCGGATGCCCTTTTTTTGCACCTTGCTCTGCTGGAGCTCCAAAATGTCACAAAAGTTTTTACCCTAACCCTCTCACCCCCCCCTGCCCTTCCCTCCCCCCCCCCCTTTCCCCTTCCCTGACTCGAATGAGTCAGAGCCGAGTCGACGAGTAAAAGTTGACTCGGCTGACTCAACACTGACTCAGAAAAAGTTTTGAGATCGAGTGAAGATTTGCTCGCGACTCGACTCGACTCGCCTTGGATCGAGTCAGCGGGCCTCCCCCCAGTGACTCGACTAGAAAACTTTTTTTTCCGAGCCGAATCAACGAGTGAGTCGAATCTTGACTCGTTTTCTCATGTGCACTTCTACTCAACCACCACAGGCGTGGCTTCTTCCACACCCCCTCCCTCTTGTGGGCTGACTTTGATGCCTCGACCCCAGCTTCACCATCTGAAGAACCCTCCACCTCTGCTCCACTTGGTCATGTGGACCCACTCAACCCGCTTGCTCTACCACTCATCCGGACTCCTCTTGCAGAGGGAGTTGTTTCTTCTATACTACGTAAAGGTCACGAGGAGCCATTTCATCTCAACATAATAAATCCCTAACTTCCTGACAAAGAGCGACTCCTCACCCCTCAGTAAAAAAAAACAAGACGGGCCCACATGCTGCTGAATGGCGTACTGCGATGGAAGCGGAGTGTCAACCCTTCATGCGAAACAACTCATTTGACAAGGTGATACCCTCCCCCGACTCAACACCATGGCGACGATTGGCTGTTTCGAGTAAAGCAATTTCGTGACGGCCTCACATGTTCAAAGCACACTAATCGCCAATGGATTCACACATACTACCTTGACTCATTGACACCTTTCCTACAGCCAATCATCCATCCAGCCAAATCCTTCTGGATGTTGCAACACGAGGAAACATGGGCATTCGGTCTATGGACATACAAACCGTTGACTTGCCTTACCAAAAGAATTCAAACCGCCACTCCTCACTCATTACAATGCATCTGCATTTTCGATCACCCTCACACTCCATTACGCCCTAAATCCACCCCTCCGCACCATCTTCTACTCCATCTCTCCTACCCCTTTTCACCTCCTCCCTAAACCTCTCGCACCCACTTTTCACTCCTCACTGCATCTCCTCCCATCTGCCCCTCCTTGCCTCTGCTGTGCTGACGCCACCCCTCTCTCCCACCAGGAAGCCGCTACCAGCCCACAGCCCAACCCAGGAGCCCAAGGAATGAAGAGCGCGCTTGCACCCATTGTTTGAAGGTGCCGGCGAGAACTTGCCTGCATGGAGCTCCGAGCTGCACGTGCTGACCAGCAGAGACCAGCCTGAAGCAGCTGCAAGACTACAGTTATAACCGCAGTAAGGCCCAGCCCTGCATGTGCTAGGTCCTCGGTCCACCCACCCACCACCCCGGACTCCCTCTGCCAGCAGCTCCACCCCTCCAGTCAGGCCCACTGCAGCAGCCACCTCGCTGGCCCGTCAACGAGGGGCTGCAAGCCCGTTCCCCCGCCCAGGAGCCGCCGGTCCAAGGACGAAGCCAACAGCAGCAACCTGCCCACCTTGCATTCAGCTGAAACTCCTCGTAAACCCTGAAAGCTCCAAACTCTATCCGCACCTTCTCTAGCCCTTTCCCACTGCCGCCAAACCTCGACCCTCCTACTGCCTGAACTGTCCTTTCCATCGTCGTTGCCCACCTCTCTGTGGAAGTCAGCGCTGATGAATTTGGCTCGCTTCACTGCCCAAAGCGTGGTGCCATCATCAGGGCACACCCCGCGATACACGTCTCCGAACGACCCCGACCCAAGTAGCTTGTCCTTGGACCAGTTGCCTGTGGCGCGAACGACAACAGCCAGGGGGTACTTCTGGCACAGTGTGGGTGCATTTTGCAAGCTGGGGACTGACGATACTGCACAACGAAAAGGATCAGGCGTGTGTGTGGGGAGGGATGGGTGGGGGAAGAAAAGGTCAGAGAAATGGTACAGAAGGACCACAGATAGAGAAAAGAGATGGATGACCTTGGGATAAGCAAGAAACAGTAGATGAACATACAAGAATTAAAGGCTAATAGGCGTGATTAAGAGATCGATATGCCATTGTTCCATAATATGTGGTGCTCATATTCGTCCTTTGCTGAAAATGGCTGACATATAAGGATGTGACCTCCATCAGATGCTTTGCGCCGTCCAACAGTCCACCAAGCAGAACCGAGCAAGACAAGCAGGACGAAGATGGCTCCCGCCACAATGCCGATGACAGCTCCAATGGACAGGTCGTAGTGGGAAGAGGAGGAGGGCGAGGAAGGAGGTGCCGGGGGTGCTGGCCGAGGTGAGAGGGCTGCTGCTGGGTGCAATGGGTGATGGGGGTCGTAATGAAACAAGGGAGAGAGATGCAGGTGGTGGTGATGGAGGAAGGAATGATTGTGCAGCTGAATGGGCCGGCACACATGCAGGCGCATACACATGAACAAAGAAACCACCCAAATCACATCACGGTGATGGCTATTCATACATAGATGCAAAGATGATGGCAAGTTATCAGGTAGCATGCATATGAATCTAAGTTGGTTCCTTACGTTACGTTGACGTACGTGTACGTTTACGTACGTTTACGCGATTCTGGTTTTAGGCTTGTATGTACGGGCAGGCTAAAAAAATTCTACCTGCCCGGGAAAAAAAAGAAGAGGGAACCTAGGCAGATTTTTGTACAGACTTCCATTGGCCATTAAATCTTTTTGTAGGAAGATAGAAAACATCCACAAAATACCAAGTTTCCAACAGGTGCTATGCTTATAACATGCAAAATTGCAGATGCTACTTTCACTTCACTCATCCATGCTAGGCTCGTTCTCAACAGGAGTGTCCACATACGCATCATCAGGGATGTCGTTATCATCATCGAGGGGCTCATAGCCATCCTTTGGCTCCTCCCGAAACACTGGAAGTGCCGAAACCATCATTTTCCTGGAGAAGTCGGCATTAAGCTTCTTCACCGTGTGGTAGTTGTGGCTTATGTAAACCAAACCCGCAAGACGCTTGGGGCCGAGTCGGTTGCGGCGTGCGGTGCCGACACGCACTGCTTGAGTACCCTGCACACGCCAGCTTCGCCAGGTTGGGGCAATCGGAGCCATTCATAATCCACCACTGCACGGGGTCCAAGTGACCCTCCTTGATAAGGATGTGTTCGTCCTTAGCCTTTCTGCTCTCCGATTTCCTCCTTCCCTTTGATGTACGTCAACACCTCGCCCGCGACGATCGTGGCCATTGGTTTAATGACATTCCCGACCTTCATAGTCTCTCCCTTGTAGTAGTCGCGCACAAACCGGTTAAAGATTGCGGTGCACTCCTTGTCGTCCGGTCCAAAAAAATTCTCGTACTGGTTGGGTGGATAGAGAATGCGCCCCGCCACGCAAGGTTCAAAATTACGGTTTTCGAAAAATACGGTCTGTAAATTACGACCGTTTTTTTCGGGCAGTTTGGGAAAAAAACGGCGTAATTTAAATAGAGCACATGGTTTTTCTTTTTTCCGAAGGGGAATGGATCCTATGCGGTTTCAACTTCAACTGAATGCTTAGTAATGCACCATGGCACCTACAAACATGGAAATCTGGAGTTGCTAGGCGGTAGAGTAAACTGGCTTAGATTCCAGCCAGAAAAACGCTCCAAACTACGTCCTGTGGTAGCTTAGAAAACGTCCCCTGTATTTGTATCTCACACAGTTCGAAGTTGGGTTGAGAAAGGCTTCGAAGAGAACCAACTTCCATTGGGTTCTGTTTTAGGAAAACGCTTCGACAGGGTGGTTTCGCAAATTGTGCGAGACCACCCTACTGGGCGCGAAATAACCAACGGGTTTCGCGAAGGGGGGGGTTCTTTCATAACGGCACAAGAAAAGTTTGGTAAAATGCGTGACTCGGGGTTCGGGTGAATTCGCGCTTCGGGAAAACGTTGACTTATGAACATTTGGGGGTGCGCGTGTACCCCCATCCCCAAAATTCTGGTACGGAATTCGAGATTCTGAATGTACACCACAGATTTTAAAAGCTGCCGTAAAAAACGGCCGTTTTTTTGAACCAACTAAAAAAAGGTGATTTCGAGCCGTAATATTCGTATTATACGGCCGTAAATTACGAAATCGTAAAATACGGGCTAAAAATATAAAAAACGCCGTAATTTTGAACCCTGCCGCCACGTGAAGCGGGCAACTGATGTCATTATTCCACCTATTCCGCACGATCTCCGCAACCTCCTCCTCGGCGCTCTCAAAATCCGCGCACGCCCTATCCACCTGCTCCTCCAAATCGATCATCATTTCGTACATTTTGCCCATGACCTCTTGATTCCCGTAGACTTTCCTCAGCGTCATGTAGACCGGCTTGAGAACGGAAACTACCAGCTCAACGCCCTTCCAGAATCCCTTCCGCTGCACCGTGTCGCGTGCGTCCTTCATTTTGGGCCTCATCTTCGTGTAATCGTCAAACCCCTTGGTATTCATCATCGCCTCCAGCGTGTCACGCACCGGAACCAGACGCTCAAGGGCGATGTAGTTAGTCCCAAACCGCGTGCCTGCAGGCTTCAGCACCTTCAGCGAATCCTTCTCCCGAAAGTAGCCCGTGATCCACTG